TGTGTGTGATACCCGTGAAGGCCAGAAGAGGGCATAAGATCTTTAGTGCTGAAGTTATAAGCAGTTGTGAGTCAGGCAGCGTGAGTGCCAGGAATGAAACTCTGGTCCTCTGCAAATGCAACAAGTTCTAGTAACTGCTGAACCATCTCTACAGCCCCACCACCAGCATTCTGTAAAAATGATTGAATTTTGGGTGTCTTCGGGACATTTCCAAATATGACAGTCAGCATCTCAAGTTCTGGCTTTGTATACAGTCTGGATTTATGCCTTCCTCTCCTGGCTAGTTTATTGTCACCTTGACACAAGTTAAGAGTTATCTGGGAATAGGAACTCTCAATTGAGAAAATGCCTCCCTAAAAATTGCCTCTAAACAAACCTGTAGTGTGTTTTCTGAGTTTCTGATTGGTATAGTGTACTCTGCCCATTATGGGTGATGCCATCCCTGGGCAGGTGGTCCTGGGGTGTAGAAAAAAGCAGGCTGAGAAGCCAGGAGGAGCAAGCATTCCTCTGTGACCCCTGCTTCAGTTCTGGCCTCTAAGATCCTGCTCTGACTCATGATGGACTGTGCTGTGGTACCGTACATTGAAATAAACTCTTTCCTCCCCAAGTTGCCTTTGTCATGGTGTTTCATTGCAGGAATATAAGCCCTAAGATACTTCTAAAGAAAGCTCACCTCTGATACGGTGTCACAAATCCAATTAAACTCTTCTCCTAAAGCATTGGACTAGGGTACCAGTATCCGTGAGCTAGAGATGGGAAAGCCTTGGAAAGAACCTGAAGCATCCAGCACTGACCTGTAATCAGCCTGGTGAGGTACCCACCAAAACACTTCAGCAAAGCGTCCATGGAATGGCATACTGGGCAAAAGCAAGAGAAGAGGAAACCACTAAAGGAGGAAATACAGATTCACCAAAAAAAGGACATCAAGCCTCATTGGCCAAATGGATAACAGGGTGTTTCCTCACCATACCCCTCATGACCTTAGCCAAGAAGTGCGCAAGCTGCCTGCATTGAGTGGTCATGCTGCCAGTAGAAGTTCTGGACAACCCTTTGATTGACTTACATTCCCCAAGTAGAGGCTTTCCTAGTTATATCAGAAGAAGTCTTTCAAAGTGATGAACACAGACAGTGTTGATCTTATAGGAATATTATTGGTAATTCTTTATTGAGCTTCTTTGGTGACCTCTTCCTCTGGGTTGCAACCTTTTGGGAGTCAAATGACCCTTTCACAGGGGTTACCAATCAAAAAGTGTAGGTTTACATTGCAGTTTATAACACTAGTAAAATTACAGTTGTGAAGTAGCAATGAAAATAATCTTATGGTATGGGTCACAAAATGAGGAACTGTATTAAAGGGTCACAGCATTAGGTAGGATGAGAACCATTGCTTTAGAAGAAGAATGCCTGTGTTAAGTTCTTTCTTAGACTTTAGAAAAAGTAGAGAAGAGTAGACAGACAGGGGCCAGTGACTCACAACCCTGGCTACAAAGTGTACCTTTTAATATTTCAGGAACCTGTGTAGGTCATAGCTGTGGGCAAGTCCCAAAGGAAATACTGGCTAAATTAAAACAGCATGCTGTCCTTAATGAAATGGTTTGAATGACAATGGTGATAAGGACAGCGTTGATAATGTGGTATCTGTTTAGTGTGACACCTGTCATTGAGCTTTGATGTCCTTTATATTCACTGTTTTCATTCTCAGCATCCCAAGATCCTGTTACACTGTTGTCTAAGAATAGCAGCTACCTTGAAGATAGCCAGAGAGAGCTGCAAAATAGCTCAGTAGTGGAGTACTAGGATATATGAGACCATTGATTCCATCCCCTGTACTGGAGGAGGGGGAGAAGTGGGGGAGACAATCAAAGAGCTGCTGTTCTGGTTTCATTTCTGTTGCTGTGATTGAAAACACTGACCAAGCCAGGCATTGGCGGTGCACAGCTTTAATGCCAGCACTTGGGAGGCAGAGGCAGGTGAATCTCTGAGAGTTTGAGGCCAGCTTGGTCTACAGAGAGAGTTCCAGGACAAGCTCCAAAGCAATACAGAGAAACCCTGTCTCGAAAAGCAAAAATAAATAAAAATAACAAAACACTGATCAAAAGCAACTTCGAGGTCAAAGGGGTTATTTCAGGTTAGAACTCCAGATCACAGACCATCACTGGGGGGAAGTCAAGGCAGGACCTTGAAGGCAGGTCTGCATTACATTTTACCAACTATGATAGTTCCAATGTAATTGCCCCCCATAAGCCCATAGGGAGTGGCATTATTAGGAGATGTGGCTTTGCTGGAGCAAGTGTGGCATTGTTGGAGGAAGTGTGTCACTGTGGAGGCAGGTTTGAGAGCTCATATACGCTCAAGCCATGCCCAGTGTCTCAGACCACTTCCTTTTGCCTGTGAGTCTCAGCTACCTCTCCAGCACCATGTCTGCCTGCAGGCCACCATGTCACACCATGATGACAATGGACTAAAACTCTGAAAATGTAAGCCACCCCAATTAAATGTTTTCCTTTATAAGAGTTGCTGTGGTCATGGTGTCTCTTCACAGCAATAGAAACCCTAACTAAGACACTAGGGAATTCATTTTACAGCCATAGAGGTACAGGAGGGTCCATGGAGGCTAGCTGACTTGCAGTCTCACTTTTATTAGCTTCCTTACACAGTCCTGAACACCTGCCTAGGGATGGTTCCACCAATAGTGAGTTGGTTCTCCTATGTCAGTTAACAATCTCCCCCCCCCATACACACACACAGAGAGACACACCTACAGGCTAATCTGATCTAGGCAGTCCCTTAACTCAAACTCTACTCTCAGATGATTCTGTCATAGTTAAGGCTAATGAGGACAACTTCATCCCTGTGTTCTTAGATAAATATCCCTATTTCAAAGAATCATTTTGGGTCAAGTGCAAAAGAACACTCCCACCCTGGCTAGCCATGTTTAGAATGAGTTGCCCAGAAGTTGTAATATTTTTCCCAAGGAAATGATGTTAGCACAACACAAACATGTTTACCCATAATGTGCCAAAACCAGTCATAACAGACCTAAACCATTTTGGATACTAGAGTTTCCATGGAAAATTCCACTCAGATTTTCCCCCTTAAATTGCTGGACACATTTCTCCATTAAAGAGTAGTAAGGCCCTATGGCCAACACTGTAGAATCATAAGTCCAACTCCCAGCCTGTAGTGCTTGTGGAAGGACGATGGGAGGGTGAGTGGAATTGGACGCAGGGGCCTGGGGATCTTGGAACAGGGACAGGATAAAGCCTTTTAAAGGGGAGAGAGTTGGGAGTTCCAGAGAGGCTAAAAGAACTCGCTGGGTCTAAGCGATCTCTTCACTGCCTGTTTCTTCTATGAACCCAATGAGTTTGCCCTCCCTGCCTCCCTTTGTATTGTTCATACACAGGCTTTAATGTAACTGAGTTCAACCCCATACTGCTCCCTACTCAACTGATCTTAAAGCACACACAGTAGCTTTAATATTCGTTTGTTTGTTTGTTTACTTCTGCAAGGAAATGGCCATGCTTGCCCCCACCACCCAGTACTTCTTTCTCAACTGGAATTGCAAGAGCAAATATTCACTCTCTCCTTATATGGTCCCCAAAGGTTCCCGGGACAGTTGGTATAAGCCTGCTCCTGGCTCAGAATTATTGAACAAATTTATTTCTTCATAAAAATGTTTTTCCTCCTCTCCACTCTGGGCCAACACCTATTTCTTAGAATGTCATGACTCAACTAAAATAGGATTTCCTCAGAAAGGTCATCCTTGCCCTTCACCAGTGAACCCAAGCTCCCTGCTCGTCTCTCCTGTGGTCATTTCTGCTTTGCTCCTTTCACTCATTGCACATTTACATCTCATGTGTTGGCTTTAATGTCTGCTGCACCACCCATCATGAGACACTGGGCACGCTGAGTATTTTTTATGTGAACCAGTGAGTAGGATAGCCACATTAGCGGAGGAGTTCCAAAGACTATTGGATAAATGCTGAACAGTACAAAACCAAAGAAATGAGCAGACAGTAGCCATAACCTCTCAGCTAGACCTTTTATATACCAGCTAAAATCAAGGTAGATTTTATTAGTAAGTAAATGTGTTTGTAAGCACAATCAGATTTCTTCCAAAACTGTATTAAATATCTGGTATAAGCAAAATGCCTCAAGTGAACGAAACTGTCAATAGTTTCTGTCTTCATAGAGCTTATGTTCCAGTCAAGATGACAAATAGGATGCATTCATCTACATAAATTGCTAATTATAACTTTGAAACTTATAATTTGATGAATGCAGTGAAAAGTTACAGAAAGCTTTTAACGGGGAGATTTGACGTGATCTGTATGTAGCCAACATGCCAAAATAGGCTTTCTGAAACATGCTGGAAACCTGTACACCAAGAACCATCATCGTCGCCTCCTCCAGAGCTGGCCTGAGGGGAGGTGCCGTATAGTGGTGCCTCAGCCTAACATGGGCCCTTTGCACTTGGTAATTGTTGGGGGTCCTGTCTATGAACTACAGATTGAATACTTAGTGGCATTCCTAGTCTTTACTTGCTAGGCAACCCATTGTATGATAGCCACAGATGTCTTAGCCTTTGTCGATATCCCAGGCCAGAGAAGGATGACAGTGACCAATCTGTCCCTCCTTCCTTCCCCAGCTAAGAGCCACTGCTCTACATGAAATGTGGTCTTTGAAAAATGTGACTTATCTAACCACGAACTAAGTTTTCATTCACTAAATAACTAGTGAGAAAAGAACCATGCAATTGGGAATAGACAAAAGGTCAGTTTTGAAATACATAGTATTCTGGGAGATGGATGTATCTATTAGTGAAAGAAATAATCTGTGGGAACATGACATTTTAACGAAGGCTTCAAAGGAGCGGGGGAGTGTGTACCATGAGAAGAAGCACCAAGACCAGGAGAAGGCATGGAGGGTCTGCCCTTGGCCTTGCCTTTCCATCAGCACCTTCCTGCCTGCAGGTCTCACCAGGCTCCTTTGTGTTTCAGAGGCTCCTCCACAGACGGGCAGCTGAACGGACTTCAGAGCAGCCTTAACCCTGCTGCATTTCTGCCCATCACCAGCTCCACAGGTCAGTGGCCAACAGCTCTCCTCTGGGTGGGGCAGCAAGGAAGGAGGCATTTGGCAGTTCTTGCCTTTGCCTTTGTCAATAACATCAGCTTAAAAGAGCAAATGTTCAGGCTTTGAAAGCATTAGCAGATAGGTTTTTTGCTAATATTTTTTCTTTAGAATGATACAACAGCCTGGGGTAGGTGAGTTGTATTTTGTTTTGTTTTTTGAATTGATCAGGTAAATGCAACATCCTTGCATTTAGAATACTCTCAGAGTTTTAATGGTGAGTGGACACTCCCTGTGTGTGGCTGGTACTTCACTATTCACACAGTATTTCTGCATGCTGGATCTCTCGGCCCTCACCTCACAACAGCTTCATGAGATCCATCTCCTACCTCCCCATACATGAGAAAACAAAGACTCAGCATATTAGTTGTACATGCATCGTCCATAGTTAGAGGTCTGGACTTTGGTGTAAGTCTTGTTGTGTTGATGCTAAAGATCTGTTGGCTGGACCCATAGCCTCTCATTGCAAGTGCATGTATGGAAGTGGGTAGCAGTGAGCCAGAGGATTTTTTGCATAATAATTCATAAGCATGCACTAATCAGAAAACTGAAAATCACTTTTATTCAAATCAACAGACATTGACTACTGACCAACATACTATGGAACAGATCACTTGGCCCCTGAGTTCCACACAACACAGGGCAAACAAGGTAGTCTCTATTCTGCTTGAGATGCTGAGACCCAAGGAGATGGAAGAGGCAGGGGAGTGGCTACCAGAGATTCTATGGCTGATTCTGGTACTAGGGACATGGAGGAATGACAAGAGACAACATTGACTAGGCCTTTGCTGTATCTAAGGCTCTGTGTTGAGTGTTTTGTAGTAACCCCATTGTCAAATATATGAATATAAGAACTGAGAGCCCGTATCTTTTTATGTGTAGAGGACTCAGCAGATTGTGAAGTCCACCTAAAGTGTCATGGAGTACACGCAATGAATGCAAAGGCCCTGTGCCGTGCACATGTATGTGCTTTTCCCGCAAACTCCATCTGGTAGTGTGGCTGGGGAAAGGGTGTGTGCAAGAGAATAGTGGGGAAGTATCAGGGCCAGTCATAAGCCGTGGAGGGAACTTGTCGTCATCCTGACAGCTGCACGGAGCCCTGGAGGAGGAGTTCAGGAAGAGTGCAGGGAGTGTGGCAGGGAGTGGCAGTGCCCCTGAAAGTGATAGCAGATTCCCTGAGCAGCTTGACATATCATGAGGACAGTTCCATGCATCTCATGCTTTATTTTGAGAATTAAGTGAAGCGGTGTGTACATCCAGGTTATTGGGCCATACTAACATTCTAATAAGAGCGTAAGAATTAGTTTTCCACCAGGGTGTGGTGGCACACGCCTTTACCCTTGCAGAGGCAAGTGGATTGCTGTGAATTCGAGGCCAGCCTGGTCTACAGAGCAAGTTCCAGAACAGGCTCCAAAAAGAAATCCTGTCTTGAAAAAGAAAAATTAGTTCTCCTTCACATTATCAGAGTCTTAATTCAAGAGATATTTGCTGCCTCTATGCTTGTGGCCCTCCCCATAAATACTAGAGCATGATGGTGTTTGCTGTTTCATGCTGGGCATTGTACCACCCGCCTCACGTTTTCTAGGTGCTCTGCCACTGAGAACCCCCCCCCAGCTCTTAGAGCGTGGCAGCTGTGCTTAAGAAGTAAAAGTGCACCAGGAACTGTGATGGAGAGATGTGATGGCTGAGAATCATGGGAAGGTTTGAAGTCTCTGGTTCACAGGAATTCCCTCTCCGCATGCCTTAAGATGGAGAAGTTTGCAAGACCTAGGAGCCCCGACTGCTTCCTATGCATTCTTTTAGTTTCTGTGTGTAGCTTTGGAGCCTGTCCTGGAATTAGTTCTTGTAGACCAGGCTGGTCTCGAACTCACAGAGATCTCTGCCTCTGCCTCCCTAGTGCTGGGCTTAAAGGCATGCGACACTGCCACCTGGCTTCCTGTGCATTCTTAATTGAACCATATGGAGTTGAATTGTGTGTGCTCTCTGCCTGAGGGAATTAGAACTGTGAAGGATCAGCTGGGTCATAATTGCATCAGCTTGGTGATCCTTGATGCCATCAGTTAGATCTTGTCAAAGTCATACTGTATTTGTGTCAGCCTAAAGGGCAGATGAAGCAATTATATTCCCCATCAACCATTTTCCCTGCTTTCACCTTAAAGTGCCTGGTTCACTCACCAGATATTTAGTGCCTTGTCACCCTGTGACTCGAGGCCTCTGCATGCTGTTGGATTTATTGTCTGTGACTTCCCTGATGCTAAGGAAACGCTGAAGTGCAGGAACGAGTAAGGGCTGACACTTCGTGAGTTGCCAGCACACGTGGCATTGGCAACTGGTAGTGAGTATCTGCCCTGCCTGGCAGTGTCTCAGCAATGCAGCTTGTGATTTCTACAGAGTTGGATTTAAAAGCTCTTCTAGAGTTTCAGAAGGGTGTTCTGTGCGAAGCATACAGGGCTGCCACTAGCAGCAGTTTTCCTTAAGCCCACAAGAAGGGAGTAGGGGAGAGAAGGAGAGGGACAGAGAAAGAGAACACAACAATGCCATATTACTCTCCTCAGCTGTCTTCCGAATACCTTTAACCCCTGTCTTGTATAGTAACAGGTCCATAAATATAGCCCATGTCTGTTTCCTGGCCTTTAACCCTTCTCTTTCATCTGGCTGACTCCACTTTAAGATGTGTGACTTTGCAGGTAGCTCAAAGTTGTAAAACAGCTGAGCCCTTTACCATTGATGGTGGGCTAATTGCATTCTTTCTTTCATACACATTAGGTAAAATAGCAACTCTCCTGGCCAAGGATCTGGAAGGAATGCTGCCTGAATGTTATCTTCCTTAACTTCCCTACCTCAGCCTTACATTCTCAGTTTGCAATGAAAGGAAGGGGGAGAGTCGGCAGACTGGGAAACTTGAGAAGGAAGCTGCAGTGAGGGCCCTTGGCCCCGAGCCAAACTCATTGGCTCTCCTTCTCTATAACCATGGTGCTCCTTCTTGAGCTTTGAAGTGCTAATGGTGAACTAGAGAGCAAAGAAGGCAAATTAGATAACTGTGGTGCTGCGGTTACTATAGGGATCTGCAGCCACACCCTCTGCTCTGGCCCAGCCCACTCCTTACCAGCTGTAAAGCATCCTACCTGGAGTACAGCCTCTGGCCCTACAGCCTTATTCTTAAGTTCCTACTGGCCTTCGGTTATAGATGGGGCCTTGCCCTCTTGAAAACCAATGACGGATGTCATTTACAGAAAGAAAGAAGCAGTGTCCTGTTAAATGCTCATTGTCTCCAGCCCTGGTGAAATGTGCAGTAGCTCCATAATCTTTTCATGGGGACAGCACAGAAGCATCTCAGTGTGACTGTGCCCACCCACTCCCCTGGTGTCTTAAGACAAGAGATATGAACTTACTTTAATGTAAAGTAAATCCAGAGGGGCTAGCACCCTCAGGACCTAGAAGTCACTCTCACTTCCAAGTGACTTACTTGCCAGGCAGCTGCCAGTGGAATGACCTGTTTTCATTATCAGATTATTCCTCATACATTATGTAGTTGTTGGAGCTCCTCCGTGGGTCTGAACACATGAAGTTAAGAATAAAACAAGCAATGCTCTTGGGGTGATGGCCCTAGGGTCGGATGCCCTCTTCTTTTCCTTCCATTTCCCCCTTTCTATGCCCATTATTAAAACTCCCCGAACAATCTTCTGTGCAGGGATGGAGGGTAAATTTTGAGGGGATGCCCACTCCTGTGCTGTTGGGAAGCAGAAGAGAGACATGGAGTTGGTGCTTGGCAGGAGGCGGGGTGGCGACATCTGAGAACAATGATTCCCCAGCCTAGTTTGAAAGTTTGCCTCTTGTCCTTTGGGCCAAGATCAAATACAGTGTTAAGTGGGGATTTTTTTCTTCATTTTTCCAGGATCTTTGGAAGCTCCCCAAGTTATTTTCGCCAGATCCAAACCCTTACCCACTCAGTCTGGAGCCTTTGCTACAGTTCTAGGACAGAGAAAATCAAAGTCGGTGAAGTCAGGGACAATTTAAGGTAATAGTAAGAATAAGAGCGTATTTTTGTCGTTATCACTTTCTGACTTCGTGCCACAGCTAGGAACTTAGCAGCTATGAAGAAAAGCAATGCAGTACAGGTACATAGCTCACTGGTACAACATATACTTAGCATGCACGAAGTCCTGGGTCAGATCCCCAAGTACCAACAAAGGAAAAGGGCAGTCAAGTGGGGCTTTATAGAAACATAGCACATAAGGACTAATCAAACCTGGGTCAAAGTTCAACTGTGCATAGCTAGCTTCTGTACTGTCCTGGCCCCCCAGAAGGTGGCGCTGTGGCAGTAAGAACCTTCTCAGCTGTTACTAGAAACTTTTGTTTAAAAATGCAGGGTCTTCGAGACAAATCAAAAACATTAAAGCTGTAACCAAGGTTCACAGGCAAAGTATACCAGGGGCATGGGAAAGGGTGACGCTATTGAGACCCAATTGCTTTTGTCTCAACAGGGAACAGGTATTCATTATCAGGGAAGGCTTTTCAGCTAGAGGTGTAGGTAGTTTGTGGACTGAGATAATGAGGTGGAAAGGGAACAGAAATATTTTGTAAAGGCCTCGGTGACGTTGATAATTGCAGTTGTTACAAGTTTTAAATAAGCACACACCCGTTAATTGGCAGCAGAACAAGCTCTACCCACCCTGCACCACCTGTGGTAGCCTGTGCAATTAGGAATTGCCAGGCTTGGTCTTGTGAAGCTGGGTCCTCACTTCACTAATGCTCCTCAGTGTTATGTTCCAGCCATAGCCTTCAGAATCCACCAGAAAATTCTCTGAAACCTCAAGACCGTAATTATTCCTTTCTTCTTTGCTGGGTCCCGCATACTCAGCATTAATGGCACACCTCCTATGAGCTTAATATTCTTCTTTCCTCTGGGGGAATATTTATAAACTTCTTTGAGAAGTATTATTCATTAAAATACCCCAGGAGAGTAAGGGAGAAAGGAAAGTTGTTTACCCACCACAGGGTTCATTTACATTGGATCAGAAAGCTTCAAATATCTTTCCCAACCCATTTAAACTCTCTCCAGAAAGGAATGAGGAGAGAGACAGGAACACCAAATCCACGACTTGGTCATCTACCAATATGTACTGGAGAAACCAAAAACACCCAAAATTCTGGTACCACTCAGCCAATGACACTTTAACCCTGACACTAAGCAGCCTGCCCCCTGATGAGCAACTTGTGAAGTATAGAAAAGTGAGGGAGAAGGTCAAGATGTCCTCCAGTGCATCGGCATCCGGAAGGGTGAATGTGACAGCCAGCTCCAAACCAAACTGATGGCCTGCCAAGGAGTCCTGGCATCTCTGTTTCCAGGTCTGTGAGCCTTGGACCCGCCATGGTGTACCGCTTTCCTCGAGCCGCACTCCTGTATCCCTCTGTCCTCTCTGGTCAGTGCTCGGCCATGTAGATGTGTCAGCAGTGTAGCCCTGAGAAAGTTCATCTCCTCACCTGGAATTCTGCACAGACATGGTCCTGCTAAACTTGAGCTCACCATCTTCTGGAGACAGCTGAAGTGGGGAGACAGTGTGCCAAGGGTGACAGACATGGGCCCAGAGTCAGTCATGGTCTCAGAAATCAGCAGTATGGCTACAGGGAAGCATCACCAAGCAGGCCCACCAGCCTGTGTCTGCAGAAACTTAATTAGGTTCAGATTGCCCATCCGCAGTGGGCTGCCTTCCTTGAACACAGAAGTAACTTACAGGGTGAGGAGGCAGAAGACTGTCAGAGGCCACAGCCCATTCTGGCAGCAATCTGTGTCATGGTGGTGAGCGGAGGACTGTGCAGCCACACTCACTGATGGGCAGCATCAGCAGCTGTGACCGACCCAGAAGCCTTCCTTATGTGCGTTAGAGAAGCAGACGTGCTAGACTGAAGAAGATGAAGTTTGCAAAACATGTCACATAATGCCGAGGAAATGCCTGGGGTCCTCTTGAAGGTAACTGTGCTGAGGATGTCAGGAATGAAAGTCCATCTAAGACCCCTCTCTACTGCCCTAGGCAAGTGTTAAATTCACACAGAGATATTGCTGTATATGTTGTCTTAGTGCCTGGTTTACCAATATAGTATAAATATACACATTGTGTTAACTGTACTTTCTGTGTTATTTTCTGTGTTCTCAGTGTTCTAATATTTGGGGTCCCTACAGACTAGGGAAATGTCTGCCTCCATCAGGGTTATTTAGTCCTGACTATAACCCCAAGTTTCCCCAGAACAAACAAACCTCTTCTATGCAAACCAGCCAGTCCCAGGTTCATATCCCCAACAACTTTCTTTGTCAAACTCTCCCACACCAATCCAAACTGTTCCCCCTGCCCAGTCATTCCTGAACCGAATCCCAAGTGTCCAACAAACACCTCCAGGCTTCCAAAGCCCACTGGAAATTATTCAAAGGAGAGACACTGGCCTGTATCCTTGACAGGTCTTCTCTTTGCTCAGAACACCAGTGATTCCCCTCGCTCTTGTCTGCCTCCTGACCAGCACTGCGTAGTTTTCTCAGTGATTGTAACGTGCACTGTTATGTGCCTCTCTAGAAACTGGAAGTATTATCTGCTTCCTCCTGCCAAGCTCTTCCCTCTTCCTCCTGAGGCTGCACTGACTTCTCATACCATGTCCAACATGCACATTCTTAGAACAAACACCAGAAGTAAGGCTTTCATTAATGTGCCGCACCAGGAATCACTCCGTGATAGGCCTCATCACACGGTGGTACTTCATCGGCATATTTAGCTAGCCTGATCTGGCTGCAGCCACACAAAAGGAAAAGGATGCAGCCTGTACATGGCCGCCTGGCCTGGCTGCCAGCCACTGAAACTCTGCATCCTTCTCCTAAGGCCTCCTGTTGCAGTTACTCTTTCTGCACTGAGAAACAAAACTCAAGTTTAGCTGAACCACCTGGCTGGAAGTCAGAGAGGAGACAGCCTGGCTTTCACTTTGGAGAAGATGGGAGGGTACTTCTAAGAACCCGCCCAAAGGGGGTTGGACTGCTTGACAGAAAGCCAAGGAACTCTTTCTGAAGTGGATTAAGAAATAAGCTACTGGGAAAGATAACATCTGAAAATTGATACTGTCTCTTGCGGAGCTGGCCAAATCCCAAGAGAAGAGTGATGCTTCGTCAACTGTTAACAATGACTACCTTGTTAAAGAGACAAGGGAGGTCCAGAGGCCTCATTCTCAGGCTGTGTTCCTGAAGAACGTGCTGCTCTTGGGAAAAAAAATGCCTGGCACCCTGGATCCTTAGACTTATACCCATAACTGCATTTTGTGGCAAAGCTGTGTGGTCCTGTGTAACCTCTGTTCAATTTGGTTCATTCTTGTTGCCTTGCCCTGGGAGTCTCTCCACAGGTCACTCCCTGTTAGCAATCCAGCCTCCAGTCACACAGCCAGTGAAGCCACACACCTTGCTACTAGTGTTAATGGGATGCTTGTTACAGTCACGTGCCTTTGCTTTCCCATCCTGCGTCCTTAGGACATAATTGTTCCTAAAAGTTCTACAGAAAGAAAATGGCATGTTAAGCCATGCCTGTCTTTGGAAAAAGCAAACTTTACTCATGGAATATTTACAACCGTGCTTACCTCATCTGCAGAGTTGGAACTGGGTTCCAGGGGGTGTCGGTATTTAACTGTAGGGCTTGGCAAATGATGAAGTAGATTGCCCTGTTGACATGATTGGTGTTGATATTTATCCTTTATTCTTTCAAATTAAGTTATAAAGAAAAGACTCAGGTTCCCTCCAGTCCTCAGTGGAGAAAGCATCACTAGTTAGACTCAAACAACCGTCCCCTGGATTTCTTTTCTCAACTTGTGAGCATGGCTATCCCAGTCAGCTGCATAGCTAGCAAGGGCTCACTGCATTCAACCTGATCTAGCTACCTGATGCCAGAGATGAGCAGGTCCGAGTAGGTATATCAGTAAGGCATAACCTATGACCCCAGCACAATGAGGGTGTCGGTAAGAAAGCCAACCCAGCTCTCAATGATGAGACAAGTCAGCTGCTTGTAAGTCACTGCAGTTCTTGGATTGATTCGTCTCTTCTTAGTAAGTAGAAGGTTTGCTCTTTTGTATTTTGGCACTGAAATATGTGAGAGGGTTTTTTCCGTTCCCCCTTCCTATTTACTTGTGATTTGCCATGGAAATTCAAATAGATGACAAGCCCGAATGTAGATGTTTTGAAGCTTGATAAGTTTTTATATTTTTTGTGGTAGAACTGAAAACTATATTGGGTAATGAACCTTTCATTGTTTTAAGCACATGTTATAATAGGAAATTTTCAAAACTGCTGTTCTTTAAGATTCTCCTCTGGTCTTTTGAATCTGTCCCTCTTTCCTTCTGTTGTGCATGTGTGCAAATACCTGTCCCTTCTTCATACAGAGGATCTGACTTGCCCATGGTAGGCTTTTGGTCATTGAGAAGGGAGACACCACAAGATCTAGGGAGGTACCTCAGTGGGTGAAACACTTTCTGCGCAAGCATGAGGACCTCAGTTCTAATCCCCAGGCCCCATGGAAAGCCAGGCACAGTGGTGTATATACACAATCCCCATGCTTCTACAACAAGAGGAGCAGTGGAAACAGAACAGTACAGAAGCTCAGAGAGCTATTGAACCTGGTGTGTGCACCAGCCCACAACAAAGGGAATCTTTCCTAAACAAGATGGAATGCTTGTACTCACACACATGAATACACATGCAACAGGAGAGAAGCCCCTTCGGTGAAGTGTACCTCTATGAAGCGAAGTTGTCGTATATGAACACAGAGAAGAGATGGCTTCTTGGGAGCCAGGCTCATGAAAACTGGCCACCTGACCAAACAGTGAAGCAGTGCTCTCTGTTAGCCTGTTCCTCTGACCAGATGTCTGACCAGATAGCAAGAAGGGGTAAATATATGCTCATATAGATAGAGTAAGAATGTATATACGGTGTGCACATATAGATAAAGAAGGTAAATACAGTGTGCTCATATAGATAGAGTAAGAATGTAAATACGGTGTGCACATATAGATAGAGTAAGAAGGTAAATACGGTGTGCACATATAGATAAAGAAGTTAAATACAGTGTGCTCATATAGATAGAGTAAGAATGTAAATATGGTGTGCACATATAGATAGAGTAAGAAGGTAAATACAGTGTGCACATATAGATAGAGTAAGAAGGTAAATATGGTGTGCACATATAGATAGAGTAAGAAGGTAAATATGGTAAATACAGTGTGCTCATATAGATAGAATAAGAAGGTAAATACGGTGTGCTCATATAGATAGAGTAAGAAGGTAAATACGGTGTGCACATATAGATGAGTAAGAAGGGATAAGTATGTGCACATATAGGTATCAGTAAGAAGGATGAGCAAGTACTAAATAAAGGTTAGGCCTCATTTCTAAGAGCAGCTTTCTGAAAATCCCACCCTGCAGTACCTGATTACAAACTCAATGGTGTTATCCAGTACAGTTTGCAGGATAATGGCACAGGGGACTCGTGGCTCCGCCTGGTATTGTGCACCATTTTCTCACCCACTCTTCAGACACGGTCAGAGGCTTCCCATCTATTCATCAGCAGACGCCCACTGTGGCCACCACCTCCCGTCGTATGCCAGCCTGGCGCTAGTGTAGCATAATTATGGGAGGGAGTCGAAGTTGCCACCTGATACATTGCTGGCACGTCTTTCAGGTGAGGTTATAACTTAGCAGGTACAACATAAACTCCGCCTCTAGCATAAAGTCTCAAAATATAATATAAAATATTAATAAAATAAAAACATGAAATATTAAGGGAAACTCACATCTAAGAAATGTGAAAATTCAAAAAAAATTTTAAATCAGGGGTCAAATAAACATAGTTGATGTAAAACTTGTTCCTGAGTGTTGTACTAGCCAGAACAAAAAGGAAACATGATATGAATTGGAGTTTTCATTGCCTATCATGCATGAGGCTCTGGGTTTAACTCCCCAGCAGTATAAAAAATAAAAAAATAAAAAACCTGTGGGAGAATCAAGCTTTCTCCTATTTTTTCCTATTCTTATTCCAAAGTAACTACTTAGCATGCTTTATGTAGAATTCACTGAATGAAGTAATAGTACTCTCGGCCAGCTAGCTCAGAAATGTATTTCATTTGGCAGCTTCCTGACACAATATACGTGCAAGAAAAATCTTATGGGGCATGTCAGTAAGGACGGCACCAGGGCAGGACAAAGCCAGTAGTGAATCTTTGCAGCCACATGATCCAGGGGTAGGATAATGACTGCTTAGAGGACAGTGTGGATTGCATGTGTCTTAGACCGTCCTAAATACAGCCTCTCTTTGGGCTAGTCGAGCCCTTAGGCAGGGGCTCGGGTGCTTGGTCTCTCTTCCCGCTGTACCCACATGGTTGAGAAGCAGGTGACAGAAGCACTCTCTCCACATATATGACCTTTGTGTTCTCTGGTCCTGTATTCACATAGTTTCTGCTATCTTGATACCATGTCCTCCTGCTCTCCTCCCCCGCCCCCTGCCCGCCATATCTCTCCCTGTGTGGCTTATGCAGCTTCCCTTCTGCCCAGCTCTGGTCTGACTCAGCTCTGGCAGAGCTCTGATGGCCATTCTCTCTCAGACTTCATGGATTATTTGAATGCTTTTCCAGTCTCCAGAAGGAGGAAATTGGGTCCAGTCTGAAACCCCAGCATAGTATCCAGAACACAGCAGGAGTGTAAGAAATTCTGCTGAGGATATAAATGAGTGAATGTCACATTTCTTCCTTTGTTTATTTTGCTATTTGTATGCTTGTGTACATTTGCAAACCCTCCCCAACCCTGAGGGACCCAGTTAAACTTTTCTTCCTCCAGTAAGCCATCCTGTAAATTTGCATTTATCTTGTCAGTTTTCAGTCCCTTGAGACTTAAGTTTATATCATCAAGTTTAACAGTTCTTTATATTTTGTCATTTCTTATCGCTGCTTGTTTCTTGGGCAGATTGTCTCCTCAGTAAGACCATAACTGAAGGTAGAATTAGACCCCCTATGTTTCTTGAATCCCTGACAATACTTAAAATATGCCTTGAAATATGAGATTTAAAATAAATAATACATTCTTACACATATAATTTTGCTTGTGGAAAATAATTC